GAAAAGAAGCAAAATGCTCAACAGGTTGTGCATCAAGAGCTCTCCGATCAGGTTCAATCACCTCTGAAACCTGAAGTGCAAGTTGTAGAGCAGGCTGAGTGTTCTTTGAGAGAAGAAGCAAACTGCTCAATGGGTTGTGCATCAAGCACTCTCCGACCAGGTTCAATCACCCTTAAAGCGTGACGTGCAAGTCGTGGAGCAGGCTGAGTGTTCTTTGGGAAAAGAAGCGAAATGCTCAACAGGTTGTGCACCGACCAGGTTCAATCACCCTTAAAGCCTGAAATGCAAGTTGCGGAGCAGGCTGAGTGTTGCTTGGTCATGGACAAAATGCTCAACATGTTGTGCATCAAGCACCCTTGATGCCTGGGTTCAGGCACCACTGATGCCTGAAGTGCGGGCTGTGCAGGAGCAGGCTCTTTGAGTGTTGAGGAAGCAACACGGGGCTGAGTGCGGGGCGGTTTGCAGAGTGATTATATAAGGCCTATCACCTGGTTTTGCAGTGTCTATCTAAGGCCTTTGTTTTTGGATCCAAGGCCTTGAAACGAGTCCCGCATCTTGGATCAACGTTGAAACGAATCGAAAGTCACATCACTTGGACAAGCCGATAGACCTTCCACTCTTTCAAGGATGCTTATGCGCCAGGCTGCAAAGCCAGGCTCAACGGCTGAAGAGGAGCCCAACGCCCAACGCGGCCCCGATTTCGGCTTAGGGCTTGAGGTTGTTCAGTTTTTTTTCTTTTTTTTTTTCAGATGTTCTTTAAAGGTGATTTTGAATATATAGTCTTAAATGAAAAAACATGATGATCACCTACCACCAAACGCGACGTGGTGAACGCGACGTATTCCCTTTCCGGTCCTCACCCGCGGTGACCCGTGAGGGGCTTGATGGGACCGTCGCCGTCAGGGACGTGGAGGGCAGCTGCTTGCGGATGGCGGTGGACACCTGCTGAAGTGGTTGAGGGAACCTTTGGCAGAAGGGAAAAACGATGAGTGGACACCTGTCTAATTAACTATTTATAGACTATAGATGACTATAGATACCAAATGCATTTGTTGCAGCACGGGTTGACGTTCGGTTTGAAAACAAGTCGTCGTCTTGACTCGCGGTGGCGATTTCATCACGGCGCGCCCATTGCTTCGCTGACATTGATGGTGCGATGGTGATTGTGATGCTGCTGAAGCACGCTGTGCCATTTGCTCCTGATGTGACTTCCTACACATGTGACTTTTCTTTTTGACGCCGGACCATGTGGATGATGTGACTTTTACTGGCCCGATGCGACTGAAGCCGGGTGCTAGCATGTCTGTGCAGGTCTCAACCCATTTACGATGGAACCGAAATGCTTTTCCGAGCTTCCAACCCCAAACCCTGCGGTCAGCCAGAGCCGCATTCGCTCTCACTGAGGAGCACCAGCAAAGCCAGGAATTGAACCATTTCAGGCGAGGATCAAACAGAGAGATTGCAGAAAGCAGTATTAAACATCTACAGAAAGCAGAGATGGCATAGTATCAAACATCTACCCCAAACCAATATGCAGTAGCCACCCACGTAAGGAACATTATTTTTCCAAGTTCCTTTCAGCAAGTGGACTGCCTTGTCACTGTCCTATGTCAGGAATTCAGTAGACACACACTTTCTTTGCGCACCTCGAAACAACTCAGGCCGGAGCTCCCCAATGGCAGGCAAGTCAACGAGGTGGGGGGATTGGCCTCCCGAGGGCGGTTTCGAAAAGCGGCCTGTTTTCGTCGATGGCCTGGGCGATGGCCTCGTGAGCCACGTGGTGCAGGTACAAAATGATGGTGCAAACGACCAGAGCTTCTTAAGGCCAGGAGTTTTGTGTTTTCTTTTTCGGTGGAGGGTGTCCCAACAATTGACACATCAAAGCCTTATGCACCTTTTTGGAGGCAATGGCTTCAAAAGCGACAAGCTCCTTCAAGCTACACAGGCACAGGCGGTTTGGCTCCTTCGCCTTTAGCTGACCAAACCATTGCAAGCAGCCAATTTCTTTTACGGGCTCGCGCTCCCTGAGCTTCCATGAATGCCTCAGGGCCCCCATTGCAGAGCCGTGTGGCAGAGAGGAGACGGGCTTCGACAGCCCGCCTGTGTCTTTGTGAATCTCGCTCGTCGTGTCTATGGGACATTGTCCCACTTGACCTAGGTCCTGGTTTCAATTGACCTAGGTCCTGGTTTCAATTGACCTAGGTCCTGGTTCACTCGGTTCTTCCTTAAAAGTGCTTCAAGACACTTTGGACCATCGACGTCAGACGTAAGTACTAGAGGTCCCTGGTTTCGGTGTTTCCCGATCTCCAGACCGTCCCTCCCCACACATTTTGAATCCAAACGAGTTCCACCGCATTCCCCACAGGTGGCTGGCTTCCTTCCCATGGTTCACAGCCCACCTTTCTCCCGAGCCCCCCCCTCGCATTCGCCTCCACGTCGGAGCCAGCTCCCGGACCGGAGGACCCCCGTGGACCTCGAAGTGACACGGCTGCCGGAGACGGATGTCACCTGGTTGGCGCCGAGCCGGGAGCTGACCCGAGGCCAGCGACCACCGGCGGACAGGACACAGGGCGCCAACGGACAGGGCGGCGCTGACTCAGAACGAAGGCTCAACGACGCATCAGCCTCGTTGGCGTCGTTTTGCGACATGTAGCCGCTTGCTGGTGACGAATGATCTCTGCAAGCCAATGGAAGCCGCTGAAAAGCGAGCTTTTGAGGCACAAGTGCGGCCGGTGTCATGAGGTCGTTTTGACTCGGCTGCTTAAACAAACGGTTGGGTTCTTACCGTTTGCTTTCGGCTGTCAGGTTCTTGCAGCAAGAATCACTGCTTGCTTGCTCCTTGCGTTTGCTCCTTGCGTTTGCTGCTGTTTGCTCCTGCTTGGTCCCGCTTCCGGTTGATTAACTGGCGCAGCACCAAATTCCTCAAAATTCCAAAAGAATGTGCATAGCAGCGCATAACAGTAGATTTAAGCCGTGGCGGTTGTCAGGGCAGGCTTGATTGATGAGTAGCTCTGCCAGGCTACATGCGTAGCAACAACTTCTGCCTGCCAAAGTTGCAATTTGTCTGCACGTGACACTCGAACTCTGCACGGGACACACAATGATTGAGATAGTGTCCAAGAGTTGAGTTCTTTTTTTTCCCAACCCCAACTGATGGGCTGAGTAGTTCTGTTGGAGATGATAGCACATCTTTTTTCCGGGTGTCCGTCACGCACACTCATATACAGTTACATCCAAATCCATCAGTTCACTGGAGATGTTCAACCTAGACCTTCATCTTCCCATCTCCACAAGTCACCCAACTGATTGGCCAAACCTCTGGAGGTTTCCCCGGAGAAGCTTCAGCTTCCGTGGGCCCCGTAAACCTGGCGCCCGCCCCCAGCCGCGCGCGTCCTCAACCGCGTCCGACGCCCGAGAGCCAGCGACCAGGTGAGGTCTACCGAGCGGAGGAGGCGTCCATCAGGCGTGGCTCTGTTGGGGGGCCACGCGTTCGTTGGGGGGGCCACGAGTGGGTGGGGCCAGTGGGTATGGTGGGGTTCGGCCACGGGGCTGAATGGCTGGTGCCACCGAAAAAGGAACGGGGCACGGCCGTGGGATGATGGACATGGAAGATCCAATGGTGGGGGGGTTGAACTTTAGCTTAGATGATATGTAGAGAACTCCGACCAGTAGCAACCTCACAGGCTCTAGAATTCACCTTTACAATCAAGCGAAGGATCTGTGGTATGTGTTTAGATGCCTGAGAAACACCTGGGGCTTCTGACCATTTTCAGGCCGGGACAGCGCACACCTGCCACATGGACACGGCTCGTCCGTGACGCAGAAGCCGCCCTTCCTTCGCCAGGCTGGCGGTTCCTTCGGGCGGTGAACAGTTCAGGCGCGGCATGGCAGTGGGCCGTGGCTATGTGCATGTCAGGTGAAACCATGCGAAGTATCCCTCAACAGGCCCTAAACCAGTGGTTGAGCTGTTGTGGTATGTTGTGGTTGAGAAGCAATTCATGGGCTTGCTGTTGGTCGTACTGCGACAAGCCGACGAGGTCCACACAAGCCGTGCCAAGCTTTCCGGCACAGGAATTCAGGCGGTCGAACCGAAGTCAGATGTCTCAGATGCAGACTTGTCGTGGTCGACCGCCTAAGTGGTTGGGGAACATAGATGCAGACTTGTGCTAGTTAGTTGGGGTATACACCCACTTCGCTGTAGAGATGCTGCTGCTACTTCTTTTATTATATATATATATACACGTATTCTTTCTTATTTTTTAAAAATGGCCATATGCCTAATGGCATTGCACTTGTTGATGAATGCGACTTTTGTTGGGATAAGTGCATTTCCGCCCCTGTCCGAAATGATTCAGTGACTTGATACTCCATGAATCATAACTTGTTTCCACGCAGCAAGTGCCACTCCCTGTGCCACACTGGTCAAGCAGATCGACATGTCGTGTTTGCCAGGCCCAGCTCCTACATGCCTCTCTCCGCGCAAGGAGACTCCAGGACCGCTCTTCGCAAAATGGACCGCTCTTTCTTTGACGGGTGCTTTTGTTGTCGCAAGGAATGAGGGGCGGGATGGATCCAAAGGATTCCGAAGGTATCAATCGTGGTGGCACCTCATTCCTTCATATTCCTTCATTCCCCAAGCTGGACGAAGCTCCAGTCCGGTATGCCTGTCAAAGACCTGAGAGACCCCCCTGGTAAAAATTAAAGGCTCATTTACCTCACCCCTTGCATCCATTTGCATCCCCGACCGACCCCCCCTTTTATATCAATTTTTTCCGACAGCGACAGCTTGGAGCACAGGCTGGGCCCGACCGGTGCTGTCTTGGGCTCCATCCGTTCCAAGTCATTTGGAGGCTGCGAAAAAGCAGCAGCGCGGCCAGGGTTTGTGAAGAGGATGAAGAAAGTCTCGTTGACATTTGGATGGTCCTATCCGGACAGAAGACCATAGCAGCTTCCGAATGGAACCCTCCGTAGGAAGAGGTTTCACACGCCAAACTGGGGTGGCGATATAGATCAGTGGTCACCTGCGGCAGGTCACCTGCAGGTCTGGCATCGCACCAGGGTTTCTCACGCAGAGTGATCCAACTCAACAGTTCTTTAAACCCAAGAAATGTAATCCAAGTGTTGTAAAGTCTATAAAATCATGAACCCCACTTTCAGATGACACATCTAGAATATGTATATATCAAGTTATCCAGTCATTACTATAATATATATATATACTGTATATACAGTTTATGTAGTTTTGTATTTTGTCCACTGGCCCATTTTCAATTTTGTCTCAGGATGCGTCCTCCGTCTTCGATGTGGTCCTTCTTCGTCCGGCTTGTTCGCGCGCCTCCGCGTGCGCCAGGTGTGGAGCGGAGGCAGACCATGGCCGCGAAGCCGTGGCTCGGCATGGTTTGCACGAAAAAAGGAAGGGACCGGTATGACTGGTGGCTTTCAGCTCTTTTGTAGGATTTCTTCATGCTTTTTGTAGGTGGATCATACCTAGAAGAGTACAAGACTGGTTCAGACATGTCATAGGCGTAGTTCAACCATGTTCAACCACTGTAGGTCAGGTTTGGAGTTGGATTTTTAGCTTTACAATGTAATTTTTCGAGGCCCAAGGTGACTTGGCCACTCTAGCAGGGGAAGATGGTCAACATCCAAAAGCCTACGACGGAATGCTTGGGTTTAGGCCTTCTAGGCAGGAATCTGAGTGTATTTTGTGCATGGTGAGGGTGCGGGTGTGCACCAAGGAAGTTGAGCCAAGAAGAAACCGGCGGTTTTTTAATGATTTTCGACTGTCGACTGAGAAGTTCAAGCACAGCACCAACCTGTTGCAGGGAACCGAGACATGGAGATCTCAGTCCTGGTCGTGGACCAGGCCCGCTTTGGTGGACCGAAGTTTTATTCGATCTTCAGATCTTCAGATCGGCGCAGGTGACAGCTTGCGCTTGATGGCTCCTTTAACCCCTGGAGGTCCTTGGCCTGGAAGATGCGTTTCACCGCCGTGCGTGGGGCGCACCCTTGCGGCCACCCGACGTGTTGAGGTCATGGTTTGGTGGCCCCCTTGGCCGAACACTTGCAGCATCAAGGCGCCTGGCCATGGTGCGTGTGGTGCTTTGGATTTGAGCTATATACAATAATATATATATATATATAAATAATCGTCTGTTCATTTGGGGTGGTGAACAGAGTTGTCCGTTTTGCACAGCTAGATGTTTATCGCATGATCATCAATTCGTTTTCCACCTTTTTCGCCGGCACCAGGCTTTGGCGGTGGCACACCTGTGTCTAAGCCTGATCCACTGACCATGGCCAATGCTCGGAGCCCAGGTGCTCCAGGTGTTGGGCAGTCTGGCTCCAAAGTGCCAAAACCTTTTGTAGATGGAAGACTAGTCCAAACCCGGATGCTTCACAGCTACATCGTTGGAAACGAAAAGAAGAACATCGTTTGCTACTCAGAAGAACACGTCGACATTGCACAAGATCCGTCTCCTCCGAGGCGCTGACAACGATCAACAGCCTACCTCAGGGCGGCTGGCAGCAAAGCTCGCAGCATGGCAGTCACTCGCGGCAGTTTGGGTTTGGCCCATTATTATTTTTTTGACATGCTGAACTTGCTGAACACCAGGATTTCCCTTGCAGGCATTATTCTTTCCAGTCACAAGGGCCGGCTTTAGTCTCTCCCGAGACTAAGGCCATCAGCTTCAGGCTGATGCTTTCCAGAGGCCGCATGCGCTGAGCCAGCGACAGGCGTGCAAGTACTGAGGAGTATTTTGGTGGACGAACTTTCAACTGACACCAACATGTTTTAGTGTTCACCCAAGAGTCTTGGCCCCATTGTTCAATGTCTCTTCATTTCAACCCTTTCTTTGCCTCAGTTCCAATCCCAAGCAAAAGTTCCGAGGAAATAACACCACAGCACCACATTTTCCAGGCTTTGGGAGGATTGCCGAACCCTGCCACCGACTTCTTCAGTCCGCTGAATAACAATCTCTTTGGTGCTAGTCGCTGGGCATGGTCAGGATGGGAAGGAAATGCATGGTCAGTCGGATTTGTACAGTTTTGCTGTCAGTAATGTGAAAACATCATTACTCAATCCAGGTACTAGTTTTGCTGCTCCACAGTAGTGGTGGGGTGTGCCTAAGATTGATTGGGATGTTTTCGCTATTTGATACTCATGAAGGGGACCAGAAGCTGAGGAATCATATGTCGAGGGAATGGAACCAATACTTGAAAGCAAACCGTTTGGCACAACCTCACGATCTCGCGACTCCGTGGCTTCGGCCATCGGTTTCTTTTTCTCCTCGTCCGAACCGTGGCGGAACCCGGTCGGAGGTCGCCCGTCCGTAGGCGCACTGCCCGTCCGGCTCAGGTGCTTTGGGATCGACGCGGCCTTTCAGTCTTGGAGGACCGGTCCACCGGGCGCCCGGTCCACCGCGGGGGCGGTCAGGGCGGTCGATCGTCGAAGAGAGATGGCGGACGATGGCGAGAACCAGACGACAGAGGATGAAAAGACATGCGACATGCTGACTTGTGTGTCTTTTCTCTTCTGTGACCCACACATACATTCAACGTTGACATACCATTGGTGCCACATCCTTCCTTTCAAATTCTCACCGCCAAACCCCATGTGTTTTCTTTCACTGCACCGCCAAACCGTGTCAGTCACCACTGTGAAACACAGCGGGGTCTATCTGGCTGTTTCACGAAAAGCGCCGCTTTGACGGGCACTCTTCGTGGCAAATCCTGCTCAGTGTTGGGCCCGTCGAACGAACAAACTGCTCGACAGCATGCAGTTCTGCTAACATCAGCTCCTGGCCAACAGCCCCTGCCTGCCCATTTTTTTCCTTTTGTTGGGTGCTTTTTTGTCCACAAAATGGCACGAAGCAGTTGTTTAAGAAGAAGGGCACTTGCTTGCACTCAACTCCTCCAGCCCCTTTTTCCCAGTTCCTCGTTGGTTGATCTGAAGCCCCTGCCTGCACAACAACCGGTCACGAGGCTGGCATCTTCTTGAAGAGAAATTCTGCTGGTATGTTGTTGTGTGTGAGTGTGGACTGTTCAAGATGTTCAAAAGTTCCCGGGGTCCATTTTTTTAGGAGATTTATATATAGGCCAGCTTGTTTCCCTCTGTGCGGCTGTTCCATATGGAAATTCTGGAACATAGGGATTTCTGGAAGCCAACTTTTGTCGACAAGCAGGCGGTGCCATCCATTTCCATGTTGATGACTCGGAGACTATACCGTAGTTACGCAATCTTAGAAGAACAAACCTGGAGAGTTAAACGCCATTTCCTCGTAACAATTCCTTCTGATCATCAGGACCTTGTGGTGCTGATTCCTCTGCGCTCAAGCCGGCGCCGGCTCTGATACCTTCTCTAGACGAGGCGCCGAAGTGCCTGAGGTTGTGAGAGTCGTGGTGGCGAGAGTTGTGGTTGGGGTGCCAGAATCCATGAGCTTATGTCTCTGAATCACATCAGTGTCCCAAAGACATCCTCATCCCAACATACCTGCAAACTTTTGCAAGCCCTTTCCAGATCTTTCTTGAACTCAGGCACAGCTCCTGAAAATTGAGGCATGCTGGTGCAGTATTGCAACCATCCTTACAACTGAAAAAGTTTTGTTCTTTTTCCACAGCGGTATGCAAACTGGACCAACTGGCAGTGGTATTAAAACCATGGCCTTCAGAGATTCGGAAGGCATTCTTGTAAAAATCCCTGTCCACACCACGCCTCCAAACCCTCACCGCCCCCCCAAAGCCCATAAAGCACCCGAGCCTCCTGCGCCACCGGTGCAGCGCCACCGGTACCGGGTCTCGCGACGCCAGGAGATGCGGCGCTTCGAGCCGCCGCCTCCGCCGCGGAGTGCGCCGTCCTTGCAGCCTGGGGCCCCGGGCGAAGGGCCGTTCGGGCGAACGGTGAAGACTGAGGACATTTGATGGGTTTGGTTCGGCTCGGGGTGGAACACCAAGCAGTGCGACGGTCTTACCTTCAGTCTGGAGGTCTCCGCCATGTTAGCACCCACTTGTCGGTCTGCTGAGGTTCTCAGAAGAGCCCCTGCGAGAGCTTTTGCGGGAGCCTCCGCGAGAGATTCTTCGGGAACCACCTCGGCGTCACCCCGAGTGGGAAGAGCTACGACCAGGTGGGCCCCCCACGTCGCGTGTGTCTATCGCGTGTGGCCATCGCGTGGGGCCTGCAGTGATGAGTTGGCAGCTACAGCTGTGACACCTGGGGTGTGGGGATCCGAACCGTCGACTGGGACGAAAGCAACTAGCCCATTTTCAGTTTGGTCTTCACATGGTTTTGACGTCCACAGCTTTTGGGGTGGGTTCTTTGAGTTCCCGAACTTGACGTCCAGAACTCTCAGGTTTCGGCGTCACCCAGAACATGGGCACACTTCCTCGCGAACTCTCCGGCTTGAAGCCTCAAGGCGATTTGGGCGGTGAAGCGATAGAGAAAGCGAGAGTTTTAGCAGTACCATCACATACCACCGCGGTGGGTTTCATCCAATTTTACCCTTCTGACAAGGCACGTTTGGGATTTTGCTAGTTCCTCTATGTTCCTCTCATAGCAACCTTCTGCAAAAGTCAGCTTCGAAATCTCGAAACACTTCTGCAGATCTCTGCACGATCTGGTTCAAGAGGTGGATCAAGCAAGAAGATACGTGGTACCTACGTCCGTGATACGAGCTCTGGGCCGATCGGTGCTCTGGCTCCTGTTCTTCGGCCTGTCTTGAGGTTTGAGATGTGAGCTCAAGGTCCGCACGTCGGAGAGCCATTGGGAGAGCCTACGCTTTTCTGCAGGAGCGACAGCGGACGGCACGACCGGCACGTCGGACGAAACGACGGCTGTTCTAAAAAAGTCGGGGATTGAGTGGTTCTTGAGTCGTTCTTGGGATAGGCTGGGGGATTCTGAGGAAGAAGCAAAGGCTGTTCAGAGATGTTCTTTTCCTGGCTCTGCCCTGCTGGTATGTCTGTCAGGTGACGACCTGGATTGGAAGGCGCAGGAGTTTGTCCAACGCTTCTTGGTGACATCAAATGCCTTCTGTGGGGTTTTGTACAGCAAAAATGGAATCTCCATGAATACGAGCAACTGAATCTCCCGCTTTTGGTTTGGCGCCCCCATGATTCCGTACAGACTGGATTCAGTAGTCGTGATGGCCGTGTGTCCCGCTGACATGTCTGCCCCGGCTAGCCGGCTTTCACAGACTGTGGCCGTGAGTCATAGCAGCTCCTCCACCATGGTAGGTTCACATCATCTATAGCAGAAGTGATTTCATCACCCAGCTGGAGTACCCATCATCATCCCGGATGAGAATTCATCAGGACCGGATTATGAACATCTAGTGATGAATCAAAGCCTTGACAGATGAACCCTGCAGTCTCGATATGACTCCGTAGGATCCTCAAAGGAGGGGGCACATATATATATATATATATATACACACACACACACCCCTAGAACGTGATTGACCCCTGTTTAAGGAGCCCAAAACATGGTCTTTTCCTATCAAAAACAGAGGTCAAGTCTGGCTTCTAAGTATATATATATATATATATCTATCTCTCCCTTCATCGCACCACCGAGTCCGGCCGTGTGAGTCGAACTGACCCCGTGGTCAGGTTGCGGCCTGAAGCATGCCTTTTTGCCGGGTGTGGTGGCCAGACTCAAGCAGATGGTCTCCATCCAGCAGGAATATGTGGCTTGGTGTCCGACGGACGGCGCACCGGTCTGGTCTTGCCCCACGGGCGATGACGCTGGAACGGCCGAGCCGCCCTTCCAAGGCCTGCGTCGACATTGTGGACCTGATCTAACGGGGCAAGTCCATTTGGGCGGCCGATTGGTGAGTGAATTCTCAAGGGAATTCTCAAGCGAGAGTGTGTGGGTCCGGAGCCAGAGCTAGGCGGGTCTGGCCCGGAAAGGCACCTCGAATGCCAAGCTGAAATGTGTTCAATTCGTCAATTAAGTTAGCTTGCAACCTTCATCCCTGGCGGCCAAGTGCAACAATCTTCCTGCTGATATTTACTTAACTCTTACTGGCGTCGTCATCAGGGGTGAGAAGGACCATGCGATTTTTGGCCCAATAAGAGCCTTCGTTTTCGCCTTCAAAGCGAGGCAACATAAACGGAGCGAGCAGGGAATCGCAAAACGAAGCACGCTCGCGTGGGCAATCTCCAGTGATATACATCGGCGCAACCAGGTACGCAAGACCGCTGATGGAGAAGCTCGCCGAAGCCACAGCAATATGTCATGTCTGGACATAGACATGAACAGCGGATGTCCGCGACAAGCCCCAGTTTCCCGCGCTGAATTGAAACCATCAGTCCTAGGGTTGTGCCCGGCCCGGTGGAATCTGCCACACGTTACAAGTCTGGGAGGTTTCCCTTGGCTTTTGGGCTGGTTTTCTTCTAAAACCTCCCGGACCAACCGCGCCATGCGCTCCACGACGTCGCATGGGTGGATCCAACCGCGCCGGACGAACGAGGTCATGAAGCTGAACAGCTCCCAGCACCGGGGCGTCGGTCGCTCAGCACTCCGGTCCGGACGGAGAATGGGGTGTGCCGGGACGTGGATATAACCTTTGACCTTTCTTGGGGATTGGTTTCCCCACCAAGTATGAACAGAATTGAACAGATGGATCTTAAGGATGGAAGGAGGATGGAAGAAGGTGAACCTTTAGTTTTCTTAGGGACACGGCTCTGGAGTCAGTATTAGATTCATTCGATAGCTGAAACAATCAGATCTTCCTGGCGATCTTCCTTGTGCGTCCTTGCCGTTTCACACGCAGTTCTTCACGTGGTTCACGTCCGCTCGTCGATCTTCTCCGTCGATCGCTCCGAGGTGAGGGAGGAGGCGATCACCTCCATCGCGGTCATCGCAGGTGTCATGGAAAAGGACGTCGCGCGTCGCACCGCGCCGAAACCAAAAAGCCCCGTCTCACCGGACTGGTCGGCGACGGAGCGAGCGACGGAGCGACTGTTCTGCAGGAACAGAGGGGTGAGAGACGCTGACCTGCCTTTCCAGGATTTTGTGCAGTACTATGACAGCATCATGCCAATGTTGAAGCAGTTTGTGATGACTGCCACAAGCAAGAAGGAGCAGATTCTGACATGCAAAGCATCTTCTCGCGCAAAGAAGCATCAACAAAAGGAAATTCCTTGGGCGAAGCGAACATGAGCCGTCATGAGCCACCATGAGCCTTTGTTGTTGGGTAAACCACGGAGTACACAAAAGATGGACGTAGACTCGTTTCAGCAACGACACGCATGTGTTCCACCTGAGGAGAACCGCTTGCGTGGCAAGTCCTTCGAATGCATGTCCCTGTGAGGGGCCAAGACTGGGAGAAAGGGGCCAAGACTCTTGCACCAAAGAGGCTGATGTGGCTTCAGTGTAAGAAGCCACTCAATTGCAAGCTCAAACTAGCTTCAGGTTGGGCATTGCTGTTGGCAAGGCCTCTTTGGTCGTGTTTTTTTTTGCCTGACCTCAACCCGCTGCAGACCTCAACCAGGGTCTCCAACCTCCACAGGAGAAGTTCTTGAACGATGCCAAGGAAGCCATTAATGCCATGATGAACACACAGGTGGAGGCCAGGATGGCTAGGATGTTGGAGTTTTTCATGATTTCTTCTTGTGCATTTCAAGTGCCAAGCACTAGCGAGAACATCACAATGCAGCGAACACCGGAGAAAAACAAGATGGAACCCACGAACCCGAATGGAAACACGTTCGAAAAACTACATATGTCCAAATGACACTCTTGTAGGACACTCTTGTGGGACACTCTTCTGGGACACTCTTGTAGGACACTCTTCTGGGACACTCTTGTAGGACACTCTTGTAGGACACTCTTGTGGGTCACTCTTGTAGGAAACTCTTGTGGGACACTCTTGTAGGACACTCTTGTGGGTCACTTGCAGGACACTCTTGTGGGACACTCTTACACGACACTCTTGTAGGAAACTCTTGTGGGACACTCTTGTGGGACACTCTTGTGGGACACTCTTGTGGGACACTCTTGTGGGACACTCTTATGGGACACTCTTGTAGGACACTCTTGTGGGACACTCTTGCAGGACACTCTTGTGGGACACTCTGTGGGACACTCTTGTGGGACACTCTTGTAGGACACTCTTGCGGGACTTGTGGGACAGTCTTGTAGGACACTCTTGTGGGACACTCTTGTGGGACACTCTTGTAGGACACTCTTGTGGGATACTCTTGTAGGACGCTCTTAAGGGACACTCTTGTGAGACACTCTAGTGGACACTGTTGTGGGACACTCTTGTGGGACACTCTTCCAGCTCCCCAGAAACTCCGCGTACTAAAGTTGTACCAGTTCTCAGCTTCCAGCTCGCCAGATACTCCGCGGACTAAAGTTGTACTACAAAGTCGCCAGTGCTCGCCTGCATTTCGCGCGCTCGACGCGCACGATCTCCGCAGAGGGTTGCGCGGGCACCAGACAAATCGCAGACTCGCCTGCATTTCGCGCGCTCGACGCGCACGATCTCCGCAGAGGGTCGGCGGGCACCGGACAAATCGCACTCTCGCCTGCATTTCGCGCGCTCGACACGCGCGATCTCCGCAGAGGGTTGCGCGGGCGCCGGACAAATCGCACTCTCGCCTGCATTTTGTTCACTCGACACGCGCGATCTCCGCAGAGGGTTGCGCGGGCGCCGGACAAATCGCACTCTCGCCTGCATTTCGCGCGCTCGACACGCGCGATCTCCGCAGAGGGTTGCGCGGGCACTGGACAAATCGCACTCTCCCCTGCATTTCGTTCGCTCGACACGCACGATCTCCGCAGAGGGTTGCGCGCGCATGGAACAAATCGCACTCTGGCCTGCCTTTCGCACACTCGACGAGCGCGATCTCCGCAGAGGGTTGCGCGTCAAGTCTCCAAAACGAGCGTTTCGTACGAGACGTCCTCAAAAACTCACACGTCAAAGTCTGCAAAGCGAGCGTTTCGTACGAGACTTCCTCCAAAAGTCAAGCGGAAACGCACGCCAATCCCAATGTGACAGCGACATTCGCCTCTACCACAACTCACAACCTCACGATTCCCTGCACCTGCCACGAATCTTTCCGCGTCCACACGTCTAACGCGCGCAAAGTACTGCGCCTGCCACGAAATGTCACCTCCGTCACACCTCGCAACCTCACGATTCCCTGCGCTTGCCACGAGAATCGCACTTCCACGCCTCAAAGCCCGCACAAAGTCCTGCGCCTGCCACGAAAAGTGACAATATCATCTCATGTGAGCTTCAACAAAATTTGCACCACACCACATGTTTGGAATGATTTCGACCCGTTCTGAGCACACTCCCATCCACCAAAATCGCCATTTCAGCTGAGACTTGTCACGAAAACCGAGCTTCGATGCCCAACCCTGAAACGCAAATCCCAATGGCACGGTCACATCCAACACCCCAAAAACACGACTCTCCAAACGCTAATCCCAATGGAACTGCGCAGCAATCTGCGGATCTCACAAAACGCTGCGCCTGTCCAGCGAAATGCATCACGTTTCTTGCGCGACATGTCATTGTCATGCAAATCACAATGGAATAGCGGCGCAAACTGACACGTGACACGTCCATGAAAAGTCACTTGCAAAAGCTTCCCCCAGTGGCAGTAAATTTGAGACGCGACGACGACGACAAACGACGAGAGACGACGACAAACGTTGACAAACGACGACACGACGCAAGCCATGCAAACACAGCTCCAACCCCCAGACCCCCAACTATAAACGGGAACCCTTCGCTACGCATTCGGGAAAGGATTATTTGTTCTTGTCTTGCATTTTCTGAAAGCAATTGGACTTCTGTCCGTTTCGGGAGGCTGATGATGTCCAGCGGGAGTGCGACCGCTGGTGGGCTGGTGGGTCTTTCGACGGCCTCTGCGGGCTCACATCCCATCAGCAGATGGGCCTGGGAGGGATGGTGAGGGTGAATGACCTCTAACCGCCCTGACAGTCAAACCATGGCGAGCGCCTTGAAAGCAGGTACATCAAGGAAGCCTCCGAACGTATCTGTACCTGTCTCAAAAAGGACAGAATCCATGTTTTTCACCTGTAGAACTTGCTTATGATGGAAGGAGGTGGACAGTTTGTCCGTCAACTGATGACTGACCTGTAGGACTTTGCTCAATTCCTCCCACCGCTGCTGCCGGGGATTTTCAGGCGGAATGGGATGAATCTGTGCACTCGATGGATGTCCAATCTGATTGCCACCCAGGAATTTGCGCATTGACGAGATGCATGTCTCGGCCCTAATTTTATTGGATTTGATCAAAGCCTGACGCTCTTGACTCTTTTTTCAGCGGCTTTCCAGTTCTCACTCGGAGATTTTGATTGTCTACCCAGTCTTCCTGACATGCCCGGCAGCTGTTTGACGACCCATTTTGACGACCCATGAATGACATCAATTGACCTTTGAGGCACCTGCAGCCAGTGGGCTCGATGATGACGATGATTCCTACGTGAAGGCCCGAACCATGCGGCCGACCCATGCGTCTTCTGCCGGACATCCGGTGAGTCTGGAACTGATGGGGCCGTTTCAACGGGAGGTCCTGACTGGTGATGGCAAAACCGTGCGAGTACACACCGAGAAGTTCCAAGACATGATGCAATCAGTGCTTGGCTGAGCCCAAAGGCCAAGAGTGCTAAGGCAAAGTGGTCCAACGGGCCCTAGGGGTCAGACTTTTCATATGCTTTCTGAGGTTCAGCTGCTCCACACCTTTGTTACAGAGATGGAAGGAGGCTACTTCGAAGCTATCACTGAGACAGCCAAGGTCGGGGCAGATTGTTTTACTCTGAGAGTGACCCGTGTTGCAGTCAAAGAACATGATATCAAGTGCCAAGTCAGGTGTTGAAGATATAGATATGTACCCCGGTCCAAGTCGATTTGGCATCTTTCTTGCAGCAACGCAGGTTCTGCTGCCGCTGCTGACTGCCACAGACGAGATGTCAATGCTCTGTGATGAGGCAGGGATCAACAAAGCTTTGCCAAAGATAAAACCCTTTTTTCACAAGAATAGATGCTGGCCAAAGAGATTGAGTTGCAGTTTCTGCCCATGCCCAGACCGGCTGGGTGCCCCACCTCACCAACCCCACCAACCTGCCCGGCAACGCAGGTTCGTGGCACAGCCTTGCAGGTTTGGAGTTTGCTCATCAAATCGGCGCGGCTGGGTGCACAGGCGAGGACCACGACGCACCGGACGGACCGCGCGGTGGCACCGTGGACCCCGTGAGATGTGGCACGGGTGCACGGGTTGACGTGAACGGCCAGGAACGGGGCCAGCCAAATGCCGCTCGGCTTGTGATGTGCCAGAAAGAAGCACCACCACCCGGGGGAGAATGGGAGAATCCCGAGGTTTTGGAATGACACTTTGATGGAAATGGACCACTTAGTTGTCTTTGTAGAGGAACTTCCTCATTCCAGCCATGCTCAGCCAGTCAACCCGTCCGTGCTCTGCGGTTTGTCGAGCCGTGTCCCGTTTTGGAAGTTCTCGTTGGGGCGCGCGGTCGTACGCGGGGCGCCGATGAATGGAACGACGGCGCCAAGGACATGGCGAAGCAACTCCTGGGAACGGGTTTGCAGGTGCGGAACATCTCTCCAGTGTTTGGCGAGAAGGAAGAAGGAAAGTTTTCGCTCGCGGGTTTTGGCGCGGTTTTGCCGTGTTGGATTGACACCCAAACGAAGACGTGAAATTACGCCGCTTGCAGGCCGTGTTTGTGCAGCTGGAACAGAACCAGGAGACTGAGGTTGTTCTGTGAGACATGTCTTCAGATGTCTTCAGGATGTCTTTCGTCACTCAAGTCACAAGTAATGTCAAGGCTCTTGATCAGTAAAACCCCTATGACAAAGTTTTACAATCCACATGGCAGGTTTTCTGAATCAAGAGTCTACATGTGAACTTTACATGACTTGAGTGATCATTTTTTTGCACTTGCTACATTCCGGGCAGGAGACGGATTTCCTGCATGAAATCTCCTCGGGTGTTGCGGAGTGCATCAAGAACGTGTGTTGCTAAGAGTGCACATGGCAGGTGTGCTTTGCCGAGCGAATGTTGGCAATCCGATGGCAGGTGTGCTGGCTGTGCTTTCCGATCGAACTCTAAGGTTGGACCTGGTGTGCTGGGTAGCGACGAGGTGAGAACGCTCGCTCAGAGGCGCGCGCCAGACAGCAATTTGCCTTTCACATGATCTAAAGCATCACTGACTTTGTGTACTATCCGCGCTCGATGTATTTGGAACAAGGATCACATAGGATCACCCATCTCAGCCCTCTTTTCTGATCGTATGATGTTAGCCACTTCCACAGACAGCACTTGTATCGACTCCCACACGAATGAAGCCCACACCCAGGGTCTTCGCGCTCATGGACCAGTCGCTGCAAAGAAGTTGGGCACTGAGAGAACGCCCCGGTCGACGGGAGGATGTCCAACACAGGTCGTTCTTTTTGTTGCAGTTTTTTAACACATGGTCCAACACCTGTTGCATGGAAGCATTTGAGAGTCTTCTATCTTTTTTTTTCCAGGTGAGTCTGTTGAACCCCCAATTGAAGCTATCAGAAGCCACTTGTTCGATGGGTCTTGGCTTCTGTGCTGACCTGGCAAGTCTCGACAGGTGCAAAGCATGCTTCTGAAGAGCTAAAGAACAAGCAAGAGGCCATGTGGTCAACTCGTCAGGTCATCAACTCTGAGCTTCATGAGCAGAATCACAACCTCTGTAGCACAGAAGTCACTCCACACAGCTGAATGACAACTGCTGACCGCTGGTTTCTTTGAACTCGGTTTGAGCGAAAAACGTGCTCTCTGCGCAGCCAGGCGAGCCATCTTCCCCAGGACCAAACGGGTGAGTCACTGAGTCCACACCGAAGACATTTCGGAGGAAACCGAAGCTTCACGCGCGTCTCAGACTGAAGCTGGGGGCGGCGGTGAGGAGCTTCACGGTGGGGATGAAGATGATGATGAGCAGGGCCCGGCGGCAGATGAGGCGATACACAGAGCAGATGCATGGGGGTCCAATGCCTTCACTTGTGATGGGGCAAGATCTGCTTTATACAGAAAGACATTCTTTCTTTTAATAGTCGGGTGGGTGTGGATTCGGTTCGAGTGGCCATCACAGGACCAGCTGCGAAGGAACTACGAAGAGATCTTGGGAGCAATGATGAAGGCCCCATTGGTGAGACATCTCGTGGGCTTCGACCAGGGTGTGGGGAAGCTGCGACTGTTTTTGAGGTGGTCTCATATTTCTGAAACTGAGTATGACCTTCATGACATAGGTCGCTCAACTTGAAAACTCCAAGAGTATCATGTCATTTTTTTTGCCAGCCGACCAAGTGGGAGAGAGAAGGTTTTGATGGGTGGTGGGCGAACCAGACCCAGAACCAGGTCCATTGAAACGAAGCATCTCGGATGGCCGTGATGGCACCGAACCCCTCGTGCGCCTGCAGAAGCTCAGAAGGTGCAGAAGGTGCAGATACACGCCACATGAAGAGTTTGATACACAGTGCTTGTGGATGATTTGCTCATCTCCGGAAATAAGGCGGTCCATCGGGACACGCAGAATACAGCATTTCAGATCCAACAGGTGAGGTGAATCATTCGACTGGTGCGTGCTTTGATTCTTCAGCCAACCCCCAGGACTGCAAGAACAAGCAGCCCAGTTCTTCTTTTTGGGGGGGTTCATTTGGTCATATGTCCAGACCAAAGCAAGCTTTCCGTGGGTGGACCTCCGTCCAGTTTCGCTCCGTTTTGCTTTGATCCCCGGGATCCCCTCGGCACGGAGATCCACAGATCATGGCAGTCCGTTGTTGGCAACGCGTTGCCGCAAACCTTCAGGTTTCCCCAGCGGAGTTCCTGCCATGTTTGCCACAATGTGCTGAGCGCATTCAGCAATGGGCTTGGGAACCCAAGACCGGAGTCCGACCGACGGCGATGGAGTCGCGACTGGAGAATTTCTTCTTTCTTTTCTTTCTCTTAAGTTCTCTCCGTCTCTCTCAGAAGCATCAACCTCAGCCATTTTGGGAACCACTGTTGCGGTCCTCAGCCACTTTAAGACGAGGTGGCGACCAAGGAGAACAAGGCTTCCCAATCGGGGCTTGGAGGAACTTTATTTTGAGCTCATTTCATCTCAGTTCTGACTCTTGTTGTTGACTAAAGTTGAAGGGAAGAACGACATGGGAAGGCTGCAGTCGCATGTCATCACGCAGCCTTTGTCGTTCGTAGGTCCTTGGCCTGTACTTGGTGTGCGATCTCCTGGATAATTTGCTCGCACCTCAAACGCTTCAACGGCTTCCATATGTTGATTGCTTGAAGAAACTCGCAAGGAGCTTGTTGAGCCGTTGAACCGAGGAAGGAACATTCTGAGAGCGCATGGCCAATCTTCATGCCCAAGATTTTTGAGTCGATCTTCGACGTTGATGCAGATGCAAGGAGATGGGTTATGATGGGGGAGCAGAACTCACCGCGCAGGTACTTCACATTCGCTGAAGCAATTGCCCAGAAACGTCCACATGTCACTGCCGCGCTTGAGACTCCACACGCAACGAGCAGATCTGAGGAGACCAGAGACGAAACGGGAAACGGACAGTTCTCAGCACTTTCGGCTCCAGGCGAGCCGAACCCAAGGCTTTGCTCCATTTCAGATACGACCGTCCCATTTTTGGTTTGTAAAAAACCACCAGAAAAGAGAGGATACTGTGGGTGAATGTCTTGAAGATTGGCAATACCCCGTAGCCTCGCCCGCTGCTTTCCCAAAGCTACAGCACATTTTGTGGCTCGTGTACCTAGACAAGACGTCAACTGCATCAACCATCCGAATGAAGACGAGCGATGGGCCCCTGTCGCGTTCGCCTTCCTTGCTCCAATTGCAGCTGGACTTGCTTGGTCGCTGAAGCGTCCCAGACAGTCGCGTAAAGAAGAAACGTCCTCATGGTCCAAGTCGCAACGTCGCTTACGAGGCCATGTCTGTCGAACTGGACCATCACTTCACGATGCTAGTGGATCATTTCAGACAGGTTCAAAACAAGTTTCTTTGTAGCCTGCGCTTGAGACTCAACAAGGTAGAATTCGAGGTCTTCTTTCATATCAGCTTTCTGTGCATGACACGCGGGCTGAGGACGCACATCCCATGGCGTTTGGCAGAGGACATCTCACAATGCCCCAACATGTAGGTGATGACTTGCTATGTTTGTTTCAGGCGGTTGTTGAATGAAGCCAAGTACTGTACTCGAAGCTATTCCCATATATACTGTATATATATATATATATTATATATACAGTATATAGCTTGGTTAACACTTTTGGAGTTCCGTGACGGTGGTGGGTGGTTGGCTTTGGACCGAAAATAAGTTCCTTCTCAAAGACCCTCACGAATCACCAGAGCCGCTGTTGCATGATTCGTTTCAGCTCATACAACATGAAAGCAAATTATGAACACCAGTGACCAGCATGGACAGCAACAGTGTGGAGGAGGAGGAGGAGGAGGGGAGGGAAAGGAGGAGGTGGGGATGGGTGCAGAAAGAGGTTGGGACATCTGCAATAAGCCACTCGCCCTAGTCGGAGGACGAAGTACTCGCCATACCAGTTATTCTCATCCCTTTTCGCCTTCACGGTTTTTTGTTTGAATTCATTTTTCGTGGGACAGGACTCGCAGCTGTGGAATGTGGGTCTAGTGAAGGAATTGCAAGAGGCCAGTGCGACAAGAGTTTGACTTTTTGTGGAGCTACTAGTATCTCCTGGCCATACTACTAGTAACAAGAAGCTACTAGTAACAAAGGGCATCGCTGCTAGGAGCAAGAAGCTACTAGTAGCTCCTGGCATTACTACTAGTAACAAGAAGCGGATGATTTCTTTTTGTTGCTTGACTCGCAGGCGCCATCCATGCGGCTACTTTTGCTGAGTCCTGTAGGAGGCGTTCGTGCCAATCCTTTGGTGGATGAAATTTCGTGGCCCAACGAAGGTTCTTTGTAAACGTTGGCTACCCTTCTGTCACTATTGGTCTTGGACCGCCCCTTTTCCTCAGGCCTGAGCGGTGAGGGATGGACGCTTCTGCTTTGCACTTGCTTGGTCCTGGCTGGAGGGATGTTGCACGGTGTGGCCATGGCAGCTTGTCTTTGCGCTTTAACACTGCACCAGTGCTTCCCCTGAAGTGTTGGTGTTTTTTACTTTTTTGAGACCCCTTCTTGGCTTGCCTTCTGTGGTCAAGGCCATGCGGAAATTCTTTGGTCAAGGAGCGGGATGGGGTGGGACGTGGTTCCTTCGTCTCGACGACGACTCCACCCGACCCCACGGACGAGGAAGCCCCAGGTGTCGTGAGCTGCAGGCGTTCCATGAGCTGCAGGACACATCGAGTATTGGAAGCAGCCCCGGTGGTGGCTGGGAGTGCTTTGTGATGGAACAGCTGGACTCATGATTTGGCCAGCGATGCCCATCCTGGCGGCGCAGGTGGGGGTCATTGGGTAACGGTGTGGTTTGGGGTTCACGGCGACCAACCGCCGTTTCGTTCGGCCCAGAGAGGGCGATGTGCTTAGACGAACCTGGTGGGGTGTCGACTGGGTTTGGATCAGGTGGTGCGACATGATGTGGTTCCAAAAAGCTTTCCGAGTCTTCGACCCCCGTTTCAAGTCTTTGAACCCCCCGGTTCTGCGCAGGGAACGCCGCGTTCCGCAGGTTCTGATGCCCTTGGCCACGGTCGCGCAGCTGCTGGTGGCCTATTCCTTGGGCCTTTTCTTCTTCCGGGAGCAGGCAGAGAGTGACCTTAGATACTCATGCCCACTCAGGGGGCAACGGTATTAAACCTTAAGTTTGCAAAGGAAACTGGTCAATCACACCATGTATCGTTGAGGTGTCCATCTTCAACCACTTTGGCGTGGTCTTGGCGACAGTCGGTGTCGTCGGCATTTCTGTGTGAAACTGAGAGAAGAATAGTCGCTCTTAGTTAAAACCATTTTCTTCTTGGATCGGTTTCTTCTTGGATCAGTCGCTTTTTCACAGAACAATCAAACAATCAAGATCAGAACTGGAGCAGTTGTGAGGGTTCCTGTCCACTGAGTTAAGCAGTTCAGTTGGGGGAGATCTTGGAAGATATTTCTTTCGTGTTTCAACTGTTGGGTCTTGGGCTTGCGTCAGTCTAGTCTGAAACATTTCGTTTCTTTGGAAGAAGCATGAACAGACAGTGGAAAGTTGCTTCAAGAAGCAAACAGAAGGTCCACTTGGCAAACTGCCAGTTGCTGGCTCCCAGCATTCAAAAAGGGAGTCCGTCTCCCTTTTCAGACCTCCACTCCTCATTTTCAGAGGTCACGAGTCCTCTTCACGCGGCAGAGCCGGGAATCATCTCAGTGCAGAGATGGCTACAACCACGCTTCCTGGGCGGCTCGATTCAGATACCCATTATATGTTTCTTTTTTGCTTCTTTTTTTCCCAACGACTTTGAGAGTTGGAGGAGAACGACCTGGTGGTCCAGAGTACCACGATATATATATATATATATATATCATATATATATATATTATAATATGTTATGTATTTTTTCCAGGAGGGAACATGGACCACCGAACTTGAGTTGGATCCTTGATCTGACGACAGTCTCCCCGAGTTTTCACGACAGGCGTTCTGCTGGGCTGCGCTTCGCTGCCCTGCATGGCCTTTGCGCTGAATTTGCCGAAGGCATGTTGCTGGGCACTGGCCACCGTGTGGCGCTCGGAGGTAGGAGAGATAAGCCTGCCCACCGAATTTCGTCTGTGCTGGTTCTGAACATGGACCGGGGTGTTTTCCTTCTGTGGTGGGGGAAGGGATGCTAGAGCTTGAGCCTTGGAGCTGTCTGAGGCGATCTGTGAAGCTCTACAGTTTTTGAGCTCTCGAACTCTGGCAGATGCATTGCTGACCTGGGACCAGGAGGTCGGTAGACAAGGGAATTGGTCGGTTCGCTCCGGAAGCTGGGCTGGGCTGGTGGAATTGAGTAGGCAATTCTATTTTCATTGGAGGGGATTCCACTCTTACTACAGTTCTTTCATGCGTTTCTATCCCTGGAGATCCTTTCTTCGAGATCTCTCGCGAACGCTTGAGCATCCTTTCGTATCATTCAGCGGATAGCTGCTGGCTTTTCAGCGAAGTAAGTCGTCCTTTGGAGCGCACTTCATGTCTTACTTCAGTCGCGCCCGCGCCGACTTGATTAAGTAGGGAGGTCAGGGCAACAAACACAGGTGAGCACCAGACCGCTCCTCGCGATCGGACGCTGCCAACGGGGCACTTTAGCGGCCGTAACAGGGGACGCTACGAACGTTCACAAAGGGCATCGCTACAAACGGAGCGGTTGGACGCTACCGAGATAGAGTGGAAATCCCTGTTTCGCGCTTCGCTGGTCGCCTCTCTCCAGGTGCACGTGTCAGCTGCTGTCGCTGCTGGGCTTCTGAAGGCAAGGGGTGTCCGGTGCATTGTCCGGTGAGTCCGGTGGGCAGTCGCAGCGGAAAATCCAAGCGATCAAACACAGGATTCGAACACCAGGTTTGAACACAAACCGTTCATTTTCTTCCGAAGTCACTCGATGAAAAGAGAGCACCGTTTTTTTTTGTTCCACACCTCAAGACCCCATTTTGCCCCAAAAGACGTGTTGCTTTGACACGGTCTTTGTTGCGGGTGAACACCGATGGGCTACAGGGCACGTGCATTCTATGCATCATGCACTTCCAGCAGTTGGGCTTCGAGGCTCGCGGTCAGCAGCAAATATGACGAACCTTGCGAAGAGGTCGAATGATGTCGACGCGAACTTCCGAACTTTGGACCCATCTGACCTGGGAGGGTTTTTAGTGCAGATGTGCAGAGTACTCCCATTTCGGGGCTCGAAGTCAAATGCATAAGCCTTAAAATGAGTCCTTTTCCTGGACTCTCAGGGGGTCCTTGTCTCTGTCAGGTCACGGGTCGGACGAGTGGGTCGGTGACGTCGGTGCCCGATGTCGCCGCCGCTGGAGGCGGGGCTGTCGCGCTTCGTGGGACTCTTCATGGTGGCGACCAACCTGCTGACGGTGGCCATGTGCCTGGCCTTCTTTGGCGACCAGGCCCGAGACGGGGACATCCCATGTGCGAAGTGAGCTGAGAACGAACATCACCTGAGCCCTAAGGCCCTAAGGATCCAAGTAGCATCGATACGGTGAGCCAGGAGACGATTTCGGCGCCAGGAGAGCCCAAGTAATTACCTTCTGAGGTCTGTGGATCCTTAGGGGGAAGGAAAACCAGATGAGCAATTCATTGGTGAAGACACCGTGAAGACGGTGGTTCACATGCTCAACTGCTCAACCCACCTTTTTGCCGCCCCTCGGCGCGCCTGGAAGTGAAGTAGAAACCAAGTGAAGTAGAAACCAAATCATTCGCGTGAGCGGATAGCTGCGGTCCAGTTACTAGTAGCTTACTTGTAGGTACTAGCTATCTCTTCTACTAGCTACCTACCTCTAGCTACTACTAGCTCACCTCTAGTAGCGGCCTACCCCCTAAAACTAAAAAGAGAAGCACCTTGCGAGGGCGAAATCGTCGGACGCCAGGTGGTCGTGTCGTGGAACTTCATGGGCTCTGCTTGCTCCACGTTCCTCGGCATTTGGCTCTTGAACCGGCCAGAGGTGCCCACTCCCAAAGAAGTCCGCCAAAGAAGTCCGCCGACAGCGGAGTAGGGCTCTTCCTCGTTTCTCTACCCAAGGGTGTACGGTCCGTTTGTTTGTTTTTTTTTTTTTTTTTCGCATGCAAATTCTCTTCGTGTTCTGGTTGGAACCTTGAACCAGTTAGAAAATGCTTTGGTTCGTATCCTCCTCCAGCTCCGGAAAGCGAGCGTGTACGAGGCGTTTCACCGTGAAAAAACATGTATATAGTTTGCTCCAAGCTTGCTTTGCCACCGGCAAGGGAGTATTTGAGTTCTTTCCAGCTGAGAAAAAAATGGTGCAACATACTCTGAAAGCTGGTTGTGTGAGCGTTGAGCAAGACGAATCACGTTCAACGGATTCTCAAATCTTTTTTTGATACAGTTGTGACTGATCGACTCATCGCCTCAGATGACTAGGACAGCAGCTGCCTATGCAATCAACTTGGCAGCACCTCTCCCAAAGTTTGCTGAGGTGCTGCGGTGGAGCCGTCATAGTTTGGGTATGCACACACACACAAACATAATATATATATAATTAATGCATACATACATATTGTACTACACGTGAAGTAGAAAGAAAGCTGTGACGCTTTGCAAAAGGACTCCAAGAAACACTTGGGAGTTGAGTCAAACTAGCAGGACACCACAGGAAAGATCTCAGAGTTGGGCAAAAAAACAAAAGCCAGTTAGTGAAACTCCGTGCTGTGTTTTTCCTGACAAAACCTTGGAGCTTCGACAAGACTTTTTCCAATTCTACGAGGCCCTTCGTAGACTCAGCTTCCCCTGCCTCAGCTGACCCTCCCCTCTCCGTGAGGCGTCGCCGGAGAGTTTCAAGGCGCTGGCGAAGCTGCTCAGTGCACCCAAGCCCAAGAAGCGCGTGCGGAACACCCAGAGGGCATGGCAGGGACCAGGTGGCCCGAGCTCCAACGGTCAGTCAGATCATGTCGAATCATGGCGGTTTGATAGGGATGACCTGAACGGAAATCATGTACTACGTACCATCTACTGTATATAGCCGGACAGCTGGACCATTTGGCCCAACTCGACAGACAGGATGAAAAGGCCAAGATTGCCATGGACAACGCAGCGATCTCCTCAGTTTTTGGATTCAACAGTGAACTGAAACACCAAAGAAAGAACAATTGGATGGTGTTTGACATGTTCTGTGAATCATTGGACAATTAACTGTATATAGCATGATGACCTGCAGACACATTTTTTTCCACCACTCTCTCACTCTTTTGCAGGTCGCTGCTATGCTTTCAATGCTGAAGGAGCATTCCAACCTTTGTGGTTTTCTGCAGTGCGACGGCTGAGAATCGGCCGCACTCCGATTGGCGTCCTCTCTCAATGACTGTCTCTGATTTTCAGGGAGAGCCTCTGCCCCGAGACGATGGAGCGGGGATATCTTGTACCCCTTGATATAGCTTAATTATACTCAATTTGTCATTTTATCATGTTGAGTCCTAGCTGCAAGAAACCATGGCACCGGCGTCTATGCCAGCACTCCTAGTCACTGAGACTGCAGGAGAAGGGAACGCTTTGCCCTCCTGATGTTCAGGCCTACACTAAACTGCTAGGTTTGTGAAGCCAGATGAAGCCAGCCCCCCCCAAGTCTTATGAGACGCCAAACCCTATTTTGTGCGTGGACCATTTGATTACTTGTTTGAGGAAGCCCATTTCTCTCAAAACACATACATTCTCACCAAGAACGTGCCGGAAAACCGCTTTGACCGGCACGGAAAGAACGGTACTAGTTGGACACGTTGGACATTCCTGCTCTGCACGTTGAAGTGCAAGCCTTGTGTGTTGGCGGAGTTTTCTGAAGGCTTGGGATTTGACCCTCGCAAAGCTCCCTCTGAAAGACGATTGTGAGGAGGCCGGGAAAGGCTGCTTTCCCCCGTGAGCATCGATGGATGGTACTTCTCCTTTGTTGGGATCTGAATCATCTGCATTGGATCTTTTTCGTTGCAGAAGCCTTGGACCATTGGACCACTGAACCTGAGAGAAAGCACGCTGAACTGTATGCCAACAAGCTGGTCCTCAGGCGAAAAAAGTGCATGAGAAGCTCATTGATATGGTCCTTGCTCAGAACCAGGCAGCAAGATTTGTTCCAGATTGGAGTTGAAGTTCCCTCATGCGACCATGAAGACGGTTTGGCTTGGAGGATTCCAGATGATTCCAGTTCAAATTGTCATTTGAGGAAGACAGTTGAAAGAAACAGTGAGAAGTGAAGTCTTGTTGCATTGTAAAGCTTTACTATGCCTCACTTAGCATACTTGTCCTTGCCGGCTGTGAACGTGCCAGGGATTGCTTGGTGCTGACAACAGAAATCTAGGGTCAAGTGCTCAGGAAGCAAAGCACCAGCAAGACTTGGTCATGAGCGAGCCTTTCAGGAAAGTGCTGTCAATTTTGGCGGAGATCTACAAACACGAAGGTGCCCATTGCAACGTTGAAGGGGCTCCTTCCCTAATGATAAAGTTCTTTTCTTCCTACATTTGAAGAGCTTGTTTTGGAATGCAAATTGCTGTGACTTGGCAGACATTTGCAGCAAAGAATGCGACGAGAAGATCCTGAGAGCCTTCGTCTCAGCGTCTCTTCTTCTTGCCACAAAGAAGCTCTTCAAGACTTGATTCCTTGGTAATCAATACTTATATACATATAACGGGTAGGATGCTCAAATCAAAAGCCTTCGCTCGCAGCTTTATATCCACACGCCCATCAATGAACGCCTTGGAAAAGAGCTCGAGGTCCAATATCGTTGAGTCCGTTTTACAAACCCAGTGGTTGGACATCCTCCAATAACAAGTCAAACATTTCTCGACCCTCGCCGCGCTCGCCGCGCTCGCGGCGCTTGCCACGCTGCCCAGATCTTCAAGTCGCTACCGCAAAACATGCTCGTGGGTCTCGAGCTCGGGTAGCTTTATATGTTTCACAGAACAAAGAGGCGAGTCAAAAGCACAGAGGGGGTGCTGATCAACCCGGCTTGGTGGTCTGTTGTTCCAAGGATCCTTTTTTGCGTCTCTCTTTAAAGGGGGTTAGCTCAGTTTGCGGTCAATTTCTTTGCCAAGCTGCGAATTGCCTGACTTGACAAAAACCTTGGAACGTCCCTTCAGCATTTTTGGCAAGGTGCTGCATCCAGCTTCACCGAAAAGCAGCAGAAAAAAATTGTGGCTTGGACCCGGCGTGTAGATTTTCAAGGGAAGCGAACATGACACACCACCATCAAGTTCACCACCCGAGTTCATTGGAAGTACCGCGTCATTTGTACTTTTTCGTATCACCAGTGGTAGGACAGCAAGGCTTCATTGAGTCGCTTTTTTGTACAGGAAGCGGTGCTGTAGATATCAGGCAATGGCACCAGGAGAAAAACGGTGTCAAAGTGCCAAGAGAGAAAACCCAGAAGGCACACTTTCCAGCAGCTTTCAGCCTTCGTGCCCACTTTTCCCAAGGAAAAAATGCTGCACTCCTGAGAGCGCGGCTGTGCGTCTAGGTTCACCCCATCAGCGCTTGCCGTGGGGTCGGGCCGTTACCACAGCCAACCAACAAACCCCACCCATAGCCATTGCGCCATGCACGCAAACGACCTGACTCCATCACATGTTTGGTCCAATTAGTTGTGGAGCTGTCCGGCTTCAGCAACATTTGCGAAGCCTGAAAAACCTGTTTTCATGCTGGTTTCTAAGCTTAGAACGCTTTTCTCAGCTCATGGGTTTGGCCAATGTTTGCTTCGTTTGCTGCTGGACGAGCTCCAAGCTTGTGCGCATCACTTGGTTCACGGTGAGTCGCTCACCGTCAAAGCCTTGTGATCCCACCAAGATGAAGCTCATTGGCGAGTCGTTTCAGCACTGATGAGTCAGTTTCCCGGTCGAATTCGGCCTTTAAAACTAACAAAAGACACATCAGCTTTCAGACCGGTTTCTTCACTTCAGGAGGCCTCTTTTGCACATCTTTCGGTTTCAATCGGTTTCCTCTGGTGGCATTGCTTCACTCCAGGAACCTGCCCTGCTCCAAGCTGGAGCTTAAGAGGCATCGCTCCTGGCGTTTTGCGGCACACAGCATCTGGCAGGATCCGGTTGTTTTTTTCACCACGTCGCATGGTGTGCCACCCCCCATGGTCCGTCCCACAGTCCCACAGTCCGACCGGGAAGTCAGGGGACTTGTGGTGTCGTTGTGGAAGTCGATCTTTTTCCGGGAAAGAAGCGTCGAGCCGTGCGTTCAGCCTGGGAAGTCTGAGAGGTGTAAAGGATGCGAGTTGTAAAGGGGAAGGGGGTCGTGATCAGCATAGCTCCAGGAACTCTGGCACTCGGAGCACTCCTAGTGCTTTGTTTGGCACTTGGGATCGTTGGTATTGTCAGCATGGGTCAATAGAGTGTATCATCCCCTTTGTTCTGTTTTCTTTCATCCCCGCCGCTGGTGCGATGCTGCCGTGCGCAGCCAAAAGACCTGCACATGTAAGTAGGAGACGGCAGGCAGTCTCAGACAGCCAGACCCGCGAGGCGCAAGAAAGGAAGAGATGGCCTGGCCGGGCAAGCTATTTTTCAAAGTTCTTTCAATAGGTTTCAGAGCCAGTATTACAAGCTGAACAGAGTTCTTTTTGAACCTAAGAATTGCTTTAGCATGCGCTTCAGCGCCGTACGGACGCGCTTTGTGCGTTCGTGTGCGTTTGTGCAACCGCCCTTGAGATCCCTGGCCGTTGGCCACAGGTTACTTGTGCCAGCAGTCCTTCAATCGTTTGCTGGATCAAGTCATGTTTGTCCTGCAACTCGCCACAGGTGGAGCCACCCAGTGCTCACAGGCGTTGATTGATGTTGAAGAAAGCAAGCTTTTGGCCAATCCTTTTCTTGCTCAAGCAACATGCCACGAATAAGGCTACCACAAGTGCTTCTTGTGTGTTTCAGAGAGTGTTAAGCTGAGGCAGTTCATCATGCAGTTTAGAATGGCGCAATGCTGCACTGCAAGAGACGTTCTGCACACAAAGGGTCAACCAAACGCACATACCATGCCTCTTGCGACATCGAAACAGCCGATGAACCGACTCGATGCCTTGAAATCTCGACCAATCGAGCTAGACAGAAGCATCAACTGCGTGCCTGAATCCTCCACAGAATGGGATCCTATTGGATTACGGCCGGTCAGGACGGCCCGAATCCCTTCGCCAGATGAAAACCCTATTTGCATCCACTGATGTCATGTGAGGACTCGAGCGGAGCGACTGGAGCCCGATGGCAACAGTGGATCATGGGGGAGGACCTGGGGGAGGAACCGATGCACATGGAGAACGCACATGGAGAGTGCACATGGAGAGTGCAGGTGGAGAGTGCACGGTACGATTTCGCCTCCCATTTTGGGAACGTTCTTTTGCATGTTTCGGGGGATGCCGAGGATCCTCGCACGGATGTGCACCTCGCCCCACAGCAATGGCCAAGCGGGCATGTAGGTGCATGAGCAAAAAGCATGAAGAAACACTCGAGAGTGTCCCACCAAGGAAACAATAAGAGCCAGAACACAAGTAAACACCGAACGACACCAGAAACCCTGAATCCCAGACAAGAAGATGGCATCAAGGTCGAAGGTTTACTTGTCTTCAGATCTCTTCGAAAGGGGGCTTGACCCACAGCCACCTGAGTGATTAGGAGTTCCACCTGTGAGTCAAAGAGAATTGAAAAAACCTTCTCAATCTGCAGGATGCCCGTTCCATGCAGGGAACCGATGAGGAGGCTCAGGCGCAAGAGTTGACACACATCTTCACGGGTCTACAGTACGGGTAAGCTCGCCTCGCCTCGCAAACGGTGACCTTGAAGTCTCGACATGAAATCAGGTTGAAGTTGTCTCAGATCCGTGCAGCCGCTTTTTTTTTAAAACAGATTCAACACTCCGGAGATGAGGCGACAGAAAGATGTGCTTGCCATGAACATTTGGTTGGCCCTTGATTCATTGGTGAGATTCGCAGAATGCTGCTGCTTGGCTCAGAGGTGTTTGGACTCGGTAGAACGAGGAACCTTGCACTGCCAGCCATGAGTTTGGTCCAAGAAGAGACCATCCAGGAGCTGTAGAGCCGATGTCTTAAGATTTTGATGCCCTTTGTTGCTAGTAGCGTCCTTGTTACTAGTAGCTATTTGCTACTATGGTAGTAATGCCCTTTGTTGCTAGCAGCGATGCCCTTGTTCCTAGTAGCTTCTTGTTGCGAATGGCAAGAAATTGCTTTTCATGCAGACAACAGCTGGAGACAGCTGACACATTGGAAATGATTTCGTTTTTGGTCTGCACTTTGACGCTTCAGGACTTGCCAGAAAAGAGGGCAGTGGAAGAGCCTTAGCTAAATCTGTGGGATGAGGCAGCTTGTCTCCGCATGATTTCCTGTCTTGGAAAACAGACTTAGAGCTGTGAGCTGCTCGCAAGGATTGAATTGTGATAGTTGTAGATGACAGAGAGTTTTGTTGCATGAAACTGGAACGAGAGGGTTTGTGTCAGATCTACCTCTTTCAGCAGAACCCAGAAGCTGCATGCAACCCAAGCTGCGACACCCACAATACGCAACTGGTTTAACAAGGATGCCTTGCGAGACTGCACGTTGTCTGCTGTGGCAGTCCTCCGTCCGCGACTGTTAAGGACACCACCGACGATAGCGACGGTGATTTACCGGAACTCTATGATGCCAGTGAAAGTGATAGTCCCAGCCCAGCATCCAAGGCTGGAGTGTTGAAGGAGACGAACGAAGGGAGAAACAATGAGAAACCGGGCGCTTGCTACTAGTAGTGCCCTTGTTACTTTCGTAGCGATGCCCTTGTTCCTAGTAGCTTCTTGGTCCTAGTAGCGATGCCCTTTAGCTGAAGTTGTTCTTGCTTTAGCAAGTGAGGGGCTGGAATCCTCGAGAGCGCCGCATCGGGTGAACACTTCATATGTACGCCCCGCCCCAACGTCTTTGGGTTCAACTCCTCCGTGGGACGTGTGTCTTTCCACGTCTCTGTCTGGCCTCACCCCTCGATCCGCGTACCGTGCGTACCGAGCGTTGGACACGAGACGGACCGGTCGCGTGCAGGTGCAAGAGACTCTCGAAGCTGACAGCAAGGAGGTGCAGCGCCCGGACCGCGTCGGGTCCGGCGTGGGCGGTCTGGGACGTGTCCAGACCGCGGTTTGGTTCCGCGGCGGGTCACCGACGGGGTCCCGCTCTGTGGAGAAACTGGATGAGCACAAGTGTGACAGCACTTCTGGAACAATGGACTTGCAGGTTGTTCTTTTGGTTCCTTTTTGCATGGATATTTGCAGGACATGATCTGTGTCTTTTTTTTGTTTTGAGAAGTGCCCGTTTTGGATCGTTTTGGTCTGTCACCTGTCGCACATTCCATTCTTTTTGTTTTTTTGAGAGCGTAGCAATGGGCTGGTTTTTCCTGGAGGTGGATGAAGTGCTTCGCCGCTATGTAGACAAGTTTGGAGAGTCGCGTGATGGTGAAGCTCAAGGTGTGGTCGCGTGAGGAGTGACGCATGTCTTCTTCATCACAAGAATGTCTGGAGTGTAAGTTGGTCAGATTGGTGTGTATAGTGTATACATACACACAATATACATCATTACTGTATATATACACAGTACATGTGCATTGTGTGACTGGCCAGTATGCGACGCCTCTACGTGTTGTCTGCACAGTCGAAAAGACCTCCCCCCATCTCCTCTGCCATGTTTCTGTGGCAACCAGGCTATAACCGCAGAGCGTTCCCCTGGTACTGCGGAGAATCTCTGAACGACAAGAAAGAACTTGACATGCAGGATTTGCAGGCTGGCTGCGGCAGTTTTTTGGATGCTATGATATGCTATGCTTCAAGTTGGGTGATCAGGAAGCATGCTTGATACAGCATGCTGCATGCCACTTGATAACTCTTGATGATGCCGAGTGAGTGTTTCAGTACCAGTTTTGAACATGTTCAGCCCAGCCATGCTGCGTGTCAGAGGCCGTCCTCCGCAAGAGTCCAAAGAGGGAAAAACGCCAGGCCAAGCAACCCAGAGTGGACAGGGAGAAGCTCTTGTTCTTAAATCAAGAACGTTGGGATCTATTAACATCTCTTTAAATCTATTATAATCTATTTGGTTCTGGCCTGGTCTATGTGCCCTTCCATTTCCCCTTGCCCGTGAATCTACACCAATAGGAAGACAAGCTGCCCTAAACTAAATTGAACTTGAATGGACTTCCTTTCTGATTTCGTGCTCTCGTTCGTCTTCCGGCCAGACCGTTGAACGTGCCTAGCCTGTTTTTTGGATTAACTTGGAGTGTTGTGCAATGGCTTCTTTCATGGGCACTCTATCCCAACGAGAGTCCCAACGAGCATCACCCATGAAATCCTATGCCGCCGGGCGATGTTCGTTGCGTGGGCCAAGGCCAAGTTGTGGGACGTGGATTCGGAAGGTGAGCAGATCACCTTGTGCGTCCCTGGGACGGAAAAGAGAATCGGATCAGCAACTGGACGCGGCTCACTTCAAGGCGTTTGCTTCGGAGCGTTTTCCTCTTTTCAAAAAAAGGGGGGCTTCTTCGAGGTGGAGGGGGTTGACATGAACACCCAAGAACTGCCCCTGGTCGTTGTCCGCCCGCCAAGGCGCATTGCTTGCTCCCGGTGGGTGAGGCGGGAAGAACTCCTGTGAGACACGTGCAGAACTCCTGTCTTAGACATGAAGCAGTTTAGCACGTGCAGTGTGCACACAGCACTGCAGCGAAAAGTATGCGCGTGGCGTGGTAAACCGGAAGTCCTCCGAATCAGACGTGCGAAGTGCTCACATGGAACTTCTTCAGGTCTCCTACTCTGGCCAGGGCAAAGCAACTTGGTAACAAACGATGGGACTTCCAAACAGCTTGGCACAGCTGAGAGCCAAACAGAGGCTGATGAAAAGCTGAGGCAACCTCCCTCCACGGAGAGTGTGCAGCACAAGTGATGTTGCAAGACATGAAGTCCAAGGATGCCAAGCGCGTGGAGGTGCCATTTCGTGTGAGAGGCTGAAGCGAAATCACCGAAATCGCTTGAGCAAAAAAGCACTGCCCCATACATGACAGGAGTGACACCTGATCAGTCAAGTGGTATCAATAGCACCATTTCCTAGACAACAAACAAAAACATGTCTTATATACCTAGATCTTCCAAATGTGCATAATTTCTGCCTTTTGGCTGGGTTTGATGCATGAAAAGGCAGAAATTATGCACAGTTGGAAGATCCATATATAACTAACTCCAGACCGGCCTGTTATGGCCTCATTACCGCAAAAAAATTGGGGGGTTCAGGACGAGACGGAGAAGAAGCAGAAGTGCCGCGCCGACCACGGCATCGGCCAATTGGAGGTGCCAAGGAATGTCGTGACCGCACCTCGGCGAAGAGGTTGGACTTCCAGAGATGGATGAAAACACGAAACCTTGGGTCAATTGACAGTCCATTTTCATTATTTTTCCGTCAAGATAGGCAGCTTGATTCATTGACTAGGTCTTTGACCTCAGAGATTTAGTTGGAGTTTGGTGCTTTTCTCTCCCAGGCAGCGAAACTCCACTGCAGCCCTGTGCCGCAAGGCCCACCCATGTCCATGGATTTTCGGTTTTGGGCCTTTCTGATTGTCATTGTCCGAAGAATGCTCCTAGTAGCGATGCCAGGAGCCCCGTTCTTAGCGTCCTTGCTCCTTTGGTAGTAAGGCCAGGAGCCGTTAGTAGCGTCCTTGGTTCTTTGACACCTGGCAGGTCTTTGTTGCTTGGTCTGGGATGAGGCCGCTCGTTTGGTGAAGATTTGTGCCACCTCGGAGCCTGCTGCAGCTGTGAATCTGGAGTATCTAATGCTGGCGCTGAAGGCAGCGGTTCGGTCTTTGACTGTTTCAAGGTGAACCGTGTTGCATTCATCTTCGCTGATGGTGAACAGTATGAATTCAACTTGCCAAGCTTATTCTTGGTAGAGGTACAGGGCACCATTCGAAATGGACAGATGTTGTTTTTGAAGGAAGATGTTCACCTGAACATGGTGTTTGACTGGCTCCAAAGTCATCGTGCTAGCTTTCGGAACCGCTTTTCCAGTGGACCTGCGCCGCAAGACCCTCGGCTGGCCCGCAGGTCCGCTACCATGCATGCCGAGAGCCACTGTTCTCCCTGGACCCAGTGAACCCAGCATCTTGACACCGAAAGGGTTCAACACCGTCAGAGTTGGACCACTTTTGAGTGAGCCAACATCCGCGTGACGAAAGCTCCTGCTTTGAGCGGGCGTCTCGAACATGAGCTTTCCCCTCCTGATACAACTCGGCCCATCAGCTCGGGGGGGGTGAAACGGGAGGTCGTCATTCTTCCACCGGCGCTGAGGAAAAGCTGGAGACCACGCTCCTCGAGAAGCGCTTCTCGCCCTCTTGGCTGGCCGGCACCAGTGTGGGAGAGCTGATGTTCCAGGCAGACTATTACCTCAAGGAGCTGGCTATGGGAGAGTATCTGGCCAAGAGTTTGCAGTGAAACCACACGAAACCACTCATGAAAAGCCACGCTCGACTCAGTGGTAGGTGTTTCCCCACTTTTTCGGACGACTGCCAGACGACATGCCTGTGCTCCTCTGCCCAACCCTGTATCGCCCTGGCGCCTCAGACATGTACCAAGGCACAGTATGCCAGTGATGGGCATGATGAGTGTGTTTGATTGGTCCGAAGCCGACAACGTGAAGGGCGGATGGACAGGGCGAGAGTGGTTCGTGGTCAACAAGGCGCTAGCTGTGGGACGTTGGTCG